AAGAGTTTGACCCGCAGAAGGAGCCCGGGGTGGCTCAGCAGAATGGATCGGGGACCCTGGTGATCACGACGTACAACGGATACGCGGCGACCAAGTACCAGGGCATCTATCGGTGTTACGCCAGCAACCCCCTGGGCACCGCCATGAGCACAGAGAGCCGCGTCGTGGCTGAGAGTGAGTGGTCCCTACCCTGCTTTTGTGCTGGGGGTCTCCGATGAGGGTCGTCAAGTCCGGGTTGGGAAATTCCTGGAAATTTGGGGGCGGAGCCTGGGGAGGGCGGGGCTTGGGGAGGGAGGGGATCTCAGCAGGGCTATAATGCCACAGAACCCACCCCTGAAGCAGCCATGAACACATGACGCTGCCTTCTCCTGAACCAGACCTCTGGTCCATCAAAGTATGGTCTACTCAGACCACCGGTGGCTGTCCAGGGTCTCGGGCAGAGGTCTTTCATATCACCTACTGCCTGGTCCTTCTAACTGGAGGACTGAACCTGGGGCCTTCTTCAGGCCAAGCAGAGGCTCTGCCACTGAGCCAGGGTCTCAGGTCAAGGTCTTTCTCATCACCCACTGCCTGGTTGTTTTAACTGGGGATGCTGGGGATTGAACCTGGGACCTTCTGCACACCAAGCAGAGGCTCTGCCACTGAGCCAGGGTCTCAGGTCTTTCTCATCACCTCCTGCCTGGTCCTTTTAGCTGGAGATGCCGGGGACTGAACCTGGGACCTTCTGCATGCCAAGCAGAGGCTCTGCCACTGAGCCAGGGTCTCTGGTCAAGGTCTTTCTCACCACCTCCTTCCTGTTCCTTTTAACTGGAGATGCCGGGGATTGAACGTAGGACCTTCTGCATGCCAAGCAGAGGCTCTGCCACTGAGCCAGGGTCTTAGGTCTTTCTCATCACCTCCTGCCTGGTCCTTTTAGCTGGAGATGCCGGGGATTGAACCTGGGACCTTCTGCACGCCAAGCAGATGCTCTACCACTGAGCCGATCACTGTAGTCTGGAGCTCAATTGTAATTCCCGGGGACTTCCTGCCCATTCCGTTCTATAAGCCACACAGAGAGCCCCTGAGTCCAAGCTGGGGTTGCCAACTCGAGGTGGGGAAATCCCTGGAGGTTTGGGGGTGGAATCCGGGGAGGGCAAAGGGTCAGGTAGAATGCCCTAGCGCCCACCCGCCACCGCTGCCCTTTCCTCCAGGGGAACTGATCGCTGTCGCCTGGAGATTGGTGGTAATTCCGGGAGATCTCCAGGCCCCGCCTGGAGACGAGCGTCCCTGTCTTCAGTCCTCCGTTTTGCTCATCTCCATCTCTCCCTCTCCCTCGCACAGACACAAGAACACTTTATCTCGCCAAGGCTGCGCTGATGCTGCTAATTCTTGGCCTGGCGGTGACTGCCGCAGAGCCATGAGCAAGTGTCTCCCCCCCCCTGGTTTTTCCAGCAATAAATCTCTCCCCTCCTCCCCTTAGCAATAAATGTCTTCCCCCCCCCAATCTCTTTTTCTCTTTTACCTGCCCGGGCTCCCCGGAGTGCAGCCGGGCGCCCCTGTTTCCACGGCAACGGTTGCCATGGTTTCGTGGCGTTGGGGGTGATGTAATTGCCAGCCGCCTCCATCCGCACCTTGTAGGGCCCCTCCCCCCGCTTTCTCCCCGGCCTCGCCCTCCTCTCTGCGAGGATGAAATATTTTTTAAAAAGAAAAGGAGGATGGGAGACGTTTGGGGAGGGGGGCGTCCGGGTGTATGGGGCAACGCTCCCTCTAAGCTGTGGAGCCTTGTGAGCAGAAATTCTACTTGGTGGGCTACTGGCCTTCGCGTTGTGAGCGAGCAATCTGGCTGCTGCATGAATCCCGTTTGCTCGGGAGCCCTCCTTCCAGAGCGGAGACAAAAATCTGTGAGCTGGAGGCTAACAAACTATGAGCTGGCTCACACTCACTCAGCTTAGAGGGAACACTGGTGCGGGGAGAGGCAACTTGGCATGGATCCGGGCTGCAAGCTGCAAAGAGGGTTGATACTGGCGAGGAATTTTAGGGTTGGGCTGGGGAAGCATTCTGCCGTCTGTTGGCGGCATCTCTGTTTCTCTTCCCGAATTGGTGCCTTCTGATACCCCCCCCCCTCCAATCTGGCTCTGAGAATCCCCAAAGAAATGCATTTTGGGCTGTACGGCATCCGTCTCCTTTCTAATTACGGCTGCAGCATCGTTAGGAACGTGAACCCGGCCGGCCAGAGAGCAGCCGCTTCTTCGGGTGGCTTTGTGCGAGCAGATGTCTCCACGGGGATGCCGTTGCCAATCTCCAGGCGGGAGCTGGGGATGGACGGAGATTGTTTCCCCGGGAGGAAACGGCGGCTTCGGAGGGCAGACTGTGTGGCGTGATACCCTTCTGGGATCTCCTGCTCTCCTCAAGCCCTGCCCCCAAATCTCCAGGAATTTCCCAAGGCGGAGTTGGCAAGCCTACGATGGGGGGGGGAACGCACTCCGCTTTCTCTGGCTCCTGGTTTGCCTCATCCCATTCCACTTCACTGGAACTCACAGGGTGTTCTTCTGGGAGAACTCTCGAGCGTGAGGGCGTTTTCACTCTTCGGGAGGCAGCGGAAGACCGTTTTATTTAGGACTGCTTTTGACTAATTAAATTACATTGGATTGGCAGTCCTAAATGGAGATTTTAGATTTTGGTCTTCCGTGTATTTTTTTTTTTTAAACACAATGGGTTTTTTTACATGCTAAGGTCATCTTGAGTTTCGCAAGGCAGAAAGGGGGCAAACGGATTTTTAAAATGAGAAAAGAACAGTGTTTTCCTGCTTTAAGCAAACGTGGCCCGGAGATATGGGGGAAAGACGTCTGTTAGCAATAAACACACCTTTTAAAGTGTAACGGATGCGTCAGCCCTTTCTTTTCCCCTGGTGCATCTTAGAAGATTTCTCTCTTTCTCTTTCTCATTCTCGTTCTCTCTGTTCTCTCTCCCTTCCTCTTGCTTTCTCTTTCTTTCTTCTCTCTGTTGCTTTCTCTCTCTCTGTGCCTTGCTTCCCTTTGTTTCTGGATCTGTTGGTGAGGAACTCGAACTCAGATCCCTCCCGTGCCATGCAGCGCGTGCCAGACCACACACACCATGGCGTGCTGCCCGTGATCCTGCCACAATGAAGGTTTCCACTCACTCGATAATAATCAAAGGCCCCTTAGATGTACATCTCTCCCGAAGGCCAAGGAGGAACTGGAGACGATCTAAGGGGGGGGAAACCCTTTGCCCTTTCATGGCCGTAACCCTTCCCTTGCCAATTTCTCAATATGCACCTCCCCCCCTAACCTTTGTTTTCTCTCCCTTCAGGTCCTCCCCAGTGGCCTAAGGAGAGCGTTGCCCCCGTGGAAGTGGAGGAAGGGGACCCGGCGGTTTTACCCTGCAATTCGCCCACCAGTGCCTTCTCCCCCAGGATCTACTGGCTAAATAGCAGTGAGTGTTCCAGATTGCTGTTCCAGAGGCCTATGTTGTTGTCGTTCAGTCGCACAGTCGAGTCCGACTCTTCGCGACCCCATGGACCAGATCACGCCAGGCCCTCCTGTCTTCCACTATCCTCCGGAGTTTGCTCAATTTCATGTTTGTTGCCTCGATAACACCGTCTAACCATCTCATCCTCTGCCACCCCCTTCTTCTTTGACCTTCAGTCTTTCCCAGCATCAGGGTCTTCTCCAGTGAGTGCTCCCTTCTCATTGGGTGGCCAGAGTATTTGAGTTTCAGTTTCATTATCTGGCCTTCCAGGGAACAGTCAGGGTCGATTTCTTTTAGGACTGACTAACTTGATCTCCTTGCAGTCCAAGGGACTCTCAAGAGTCTTCTCCAGCACCAGAGACCTATAGATCAGATCAAAATAGGACGGTCGATTGCTTTCATGGGATGCGATCAGGCACTAAGCCTGCTGGTTTGGTTAGGGCACGGGTCCCCAACGGGATGCCCGTGAGAACCACGGATCCCTCCGATGCCCTTCCTGACACCTGCTGAGTGCTTCTGAGAAAGTGAGGCTGCGATCACACTCACCTTTAGTTCCGACATAGGTGCGAATGCCTGACGGTTGACATTAAATCAGACAGCAACATCTGGGAACAGGGGTCATTTCGTAGAAGAAGAGGTGCAGGAGCTCATTAGCATAACTCATTAGCATAACTTTTTAATATATGCCACACCCCCTGGCATCACTGGAAGTCTGTCAGAAGGCAACACCCACTGCTCAAGCTCCACTGGACTGTTTTGGATGGCTAGCTATTGGGGGGGGGGTGAGGAACCGTGCAGATCTGTCCTCACAGAGAAGGGAGAGCTTGTACCTGGATAAAACCCGGTCTTAAAGGTGCCATTGGACTGTTGTGGGCCGGTGGGAGCTCTGCGACTTACCTGGCTGCTTCTTGCTCTGACTGAGGGCTGCTGGGAGCAGGGGGCGGGGCTTGTTGCATGTGCCCGCCCCCTGGGCTCTTTACTGCCGGAGCTCCGCTCCTGTGCGCTCCTGCAGGAAATGACCCCTGTCTGGGAAGCATCCCACAGTTGTCAGCAACCCGTGCTGCTCCGCCACGGAGGCGGAGTTAAAAGACAACGGGGAAAGACCGGTAGTAAACGGGTTCCGATGGGCCACGAATGGACTTTCCCCTGTCTGATCGCTCAAGCACGCTTCCAAGCCGTCGGGATGATCTGATCAGACCATCCCGGCTTGGTGCCGTTTCCCCCCCCCCACTTCTTTGCAGTATGCGCATCATCGCAGTCTCCATAGGGGGCCCTCCATGTGGAGGTGCGATTCCTCGTTTATGCACGTCAGAAGCAAATGGCCAAAAGGACCCCGACTCGCCCGTGGTTGTGTCTGATCGCACAGTGACGGGCTGTGCCTGCAGCTACAAAAGGCTGTGTGATCTCGCAACTGCGGGTCAAATTCCTCCAGAGGGAATAGCCTTGCTTCCCCTCCGCTTCAACTGGCACGTGTGACCGCAGCCTGAGAGGGGTCAGGTGGGGCGGTTGGCTTGCTTGGCTGTGCAGAATTCTTTTTTTAAAATGTTGCTTTGGTGGCGGCTGCCACCGCAGCACAACGTGGCGGCCGTTATTCTGGCTGGCTCTGCCTCCTGCAGCCGCTGTTTCGTGGCCTCACCCACCGCACCGTGTCAGAATTCCGAGTTGGGGAACCCCGGATTAGGGCTTTGGTTTTTGTCCCTGCGCTGTTGGGCTGGGCTCCTCCCGCAGGTTGGGGGAGGGAAGGACGGGATCTTTTTGTACCCTCTTGTGGGGATGTGACCCCTGTGCTGCTCTGCATTCCCCCCCCCAGAGATTATCCACATCAAGCAGAACGAACGCGTCACCTTGGGCCACGACGGGAACCTGTACTTTGCCAACGTGCAGCTCTCCGACAGTCACCCGGACTACATCTGCAATTCCCACTTTGTCGGTCCCCGCATCATCATCCAAAAGGAGCCCATCGAACTGAAAGTCAAGCCCAGTAAGTCTTTGGGGGAGACCGTAGCCCTTGAGGTTAGTGTGGTGGGAACCCCGCTTGGTTTCCTGAATGTCCCTTCTTTGGTGTAGTGGTTAAGAGCGGCGGACTCTAATCTGGAGAACCGGATTTGATTCCCCACTCTTCCACGTGCAGCCAGCTGGTTGACCTTGGGTCAGTCACAGTTCTCTCAGAGCTGTTCTCTCAAGGGCAGTTTCTCTCAGAGCTCTCTCAGCCCCACCTACCTCACAGGGTGTCTGTTGTGGGGAGGGGGAAGGGGAAAGGGATTGTAAGGTGCTCTGAGACTCCGAGTGAAGGGCGGGGTATAAATCCAATCTCTTCTTCTTCTTTTACCTCACAGGGTGTCTGTGGTGGGGAGGGGAAGGGGAAGGAGTTTGTAAGCCGCTCTGAGACTCCTTTGGGTAGTGAAGGGCGGGTATAAATCCAATCTCTTCTTCTTCTTCTTTTACCTCCCAGGGTGTCTGTTGTGGGGAGGGGAAGGGAAAGGGATTGTAAGCTGCTCTGAGACTCCGAGTGAAGGGCGGGGTATAAATCCAATCTCTTCTTCTTCTTTTACCTCACAGGGTGTCTGTGGTGGGGAGGGGAAGGGGAAGGAGTTTGTAAGCCGCTCTGAGACTCCTTTGGGTAGTGAAGGGCGGGTATAAATCCAATCTCTTCTTCTTCTTCTTTTACCTCCCAGGGTGTCTGTTGTGGGGAGGGGGAGGGAAAGGGATTGTAAGCTGCTCTGAGACTCCGAGTGAAGGGCAGGGTAGACATCCGATCTCTTCTCCTTTCTTTTCTACAGCCAACTCTTTCCTGATGAGGAAGCCGCGTCTCATGCTGCCAGAGAGAACGCCCAGTTCGCACATGGCGCTGCAAGGGAAGACCTTGCTGCTGGAGTGTATCCCAGAGGGGCTGTAAGTTCCCGGAGTTTAAAAGTGGTCTAGGAGACCAAAGGGTAGTTCTGCAAAGGATTGTGGGAAAAGACGGAAATGGCCTCTCTTTCTGGAGATCGTTTCAGGGAGTAGCCGGGTTGGTCTGCAACAGGAAAATCTACCTTTGATTGCACCTTAAAGGTAAAGGTTCCCTTGCTCGAAAGCCAGCCGAGTCCGACTCTAGGGTCGCGGTGCTCATCTCCGTTTCAAAGCCGAAGAGCCAGCGCTGTCCAAGGACGTTTCCGTGGTCACGTGGCCGGCATGACTAAACACCAAGGCGCACGGAACGCTGTTCCCTTCCCACCGAAGCGGTACCTATTTATCTACTTGCAATGTCTTGCTTTCGAACTGCTAGGTTGGCAGGAGCTGGAACTAGTGACGGGCGCTCACTCCATCATCCGGCACTCAGGTCTCGAACTGCTGAACTACTGACCTTCCACAGCCTGCAGTTCAGCGTCTTAACCACTTGAGCCACCGCAGCTCCTGATTGCACCTTAGAGACTGACAAAAATGCAAATGCGATTTTGGGCTGTATCAACAGAAGTATAGTTGTCCAGATCACGCAAAGTGATGGTATCGCTTTACTCAACTCAGGTTAGACCTCGCCTAGAGTATCGTGTTCAGTTTTGGGCACCACAATTGAAGAAGGATGGAGACAAGGTGGAAGGTGTCCAGAGGAGGGCAACAAAGATGGTGAGGGGGTCTGGAGACCGTCTTGTGAAGAAGGCTGATGGAGTTGGGTCTGTTTAGCCTGGAGAGGAGACGATTGAGTGGTGATATGATTACTTGCCCTTCCAACTCTATGATTCTATGACAAGAGTTTCATGGTATGAGCTCCCTTCATCAAAGCTAGATTCACGTCCAGGAGCACCTCAGAGACCGAAAACATTGGAATAGAGATCCATGAGTCTTTTTATCCCACACAGAAGGTGGAAGGGGTGTTGTCAAGAATGCTTGTGAAGGACGCAGAGGCACAAAGCGTATCGGAATCAAACACAAACTGCTTTCCTACAGTCCGCTTGGCAGAAGGCCCCTTTCTTTTCTAAATCTGCCGCCCTTCCAAGGTTTTGTGACTAATCTGTGGGCAGGAGCTGGTGCGTGTGTTGACATCAGTGGGTGGCTCTATTTGTGTGTCTGTGAGTGAGAGAGAGGGTGCTAACATGAGTGGCCGAGCATCTGCTTGGCATGCAGAAAGTCGCAGGTTCAATCCCGGGCACTGCTCCCTCTAAGCTGTGGAGTCTTGTGAGCAAAAATTCTACTTTGTGAGCTACTGGCATGAAAGTTGTGAGCAAGTGATTTGGCTGCTGCATAAATCAGGTTGCTCTGGAGCCCTCCTCCCTGAGCGTGAGCCGGAGGCTAAAAAACTGGGAGCTAGCTCACACCGACTCAGCTTAGAGGGAACACTGATTCCTGGGCATCTCCAGTTTAAAAGGATTGGGGAGGAGGTGATGTGAACCCGAGACTTTAGAGAGCGGCTGCCAGCCTGTGCAGGCAATACTGACCTGGATGGGCTGATGGTTTCTTTCCATCTAAGTCAGCTTCACGTCTGTATGACTGTAACCAATGAGTTTCACCAGCAGCCCCACCAAGGGGGCAAACAGACACTCCCCAGGGCCATTTGAGGTCAGGAAAATGGCACAAGAGGGAAGGCTAAAGCCCCCCACCCTGGTGTCGCAGTCCTAATCCAAATTGCCTGAGAAGTGAGTACTCGCGTGCCAGATCTTTGATGGACTCAAAGTCACGTCAAGGGAACTTAGACTCTACACGTTATACGGGGGTCATTTCATAGAAAAAGAGGTGCAGGGGCTCATTAGCATAACTCATTGGCATAAATCATTAGCATAACTTATTTGCATATGCCACACCCCCTGACATCACCGGAAGTCTGTCAGAAGGCAACACCCACCGCTCAGGCTCCACTGGACTGTTTTGGATGGCTAGCCATTGGGGGGAGGAACGTGCAGATCTGTCCTCGCAGAGGAGGGAGAGCTTGTACCTGAATAAAACTTGGTCTTAAAGGTGACATGGACTGTTTGGGACCGGGGCTGGGGGGAGCTCTGCAACTTACCTGGCTGCTTCTTGCTCTGACTGAGAGGTGCTGGGAGCAGGGGGTGGGGCTTGTTGCATGTGCCCGCCCCCTGGGCTCTTTACTGCCGGAGCTCTGCTACTGTGCGCTCCTACAGGAAATGACCCCTGACATTACAAATTGTAACACGTAGTTTGACCCTATTAAGAAAAGAAAAAAAAAGATAAATCTAGCTCTCTCTCTCTCTCTCTCTCTCTCTCTCTCTCTCTCTCTCTCTCTCTCTCTCGGTTTACGATTGTGTACACGATCTCGCTGTCGCAATTGTTTTTTAATTTTTTGTGTATATTTTCATTGTGATTTTTTGGGAGGCACGGAATGCTTTTGTGAATTTGCAATCTGCTGTGAAGAAGTGTGGAGGAAATAAATAAGGTTTTGAAAGGAAGGATTCTTGATTTTCCCTTCACTCCTTATGCAAGGTTGGCAGGGAAATGGAAATCCTCAGAAAGGATCTCCCCCACCCCACCCCCCCGGGAACCAGAAACTTCCCGACTTAGCTTGGGCAGCTAGATTTGGAAATAGTGAAAGCGCTCTTAGAGAAGACCTACACATGAAGACCTACACATGTGGGAGCGCTTTAAGAACATGAGAAGCCATGTTGGATCGGGCCAATGGCCCATCCAGTCTAACACCCGGTGTCACACAGTGGCCAAAACCCAGGTGCTATCAGGAGGTCCACCAGCAGGGCCTTAACTTTCCAGGGCATTCAGTTGCTGACCTAAGAGTAAAGGTAAAGGTTTCCCTTGCTCGAAAGCCAGTCGAACCAGTCGAATCCGACTCTAGGGTTGCGGTTCTCATCTCCGTTTCCAAGCCGAAGAGCCAGCGCTGTCCGAAGACGTTTACGTGGTCATGTGGCCGGCATGACTAAACACCAAGGCGCACAGAACACTGTTACCCTCCCACCGAAGTGGTACCTACTTATCTACTTGCAATTTCTTGCTTTCGAACTGCTAGGTTGGCAGGAGCTGGAACTAGAGACGGGAGCTCACTCCGTCATGGGGCACAGACCTAAGAGTAGCAGTTCTCTTATAAAGGAATTTCAAAGGGACGTTAGAAAGAGAGACTGCTGAATTGCAACTGAAAATGAAGCTCAAGACAATGCATCCTCCTGCACTGAATCAAAACTTAGGTTTCCTGTCTCATTACCAGTGCTGATTTCTCCACGCCTACTACCTCACTGCATATTACACCTAACCAATCATGCCTGCTATTGTCATTCGCCTGCTATTGTCATTCAACATCTGAAATCACTCCACTCTCCAAGTTATAAGGACCGACAGACTCACATTCTAGCTATATATGAAGAAGTGAGCAGTGCCTCATGAAAGTTCATACCCTGCCACATATTTTGTTAGTCTTTGAAGGTGCCAGTGGACTCTTGCTCTTTTCTCCTGCTACAGACAAACATGGCTTCCCATCTTGATCTATCTTACATGAAGTTCTGTGACTGGTTTTCCCCCGATCATTTTTTTTAAAAGACTAAAGCCACAGGAACAATGATTGAAAGGTGGGGGTAGACCGCTTTCGGGGAGAGAAGAGTTATTTAACTTCCCATTTATAACTATTTTCCCACCGAAAACCACCATGCCAACTTCTTATTCTCATCGGTAGAAAGGGACGAATACTCATATTTCCCCTCAGCAGGGATAAAAGTGATTTGGGCCGTGGTTGGCGGCACTTTTGGCGGGAAAACAGCGTGAGGGGAAAAGTAAAATTGCCTCAGTCCTCCGTCCATGTTCCCTACCCAGCCCCCGCAGCTGCGTTCGAGCAAATCATTACCATTTTTTAAAAAGTCCTCAGGGAAAATAATTATGGAAGCATCCATCGCCCCTAGTTCTGCTTGTAGGAGGCAGGTTTTGAATCCAAAATGGGGCTTGTGCAAATAGGGAAATGCCCCCCCCCCCCCGGTTTCTCTGGCCAGGGAGGCTACCTAGGTTTGCTGCAGACTGTGAGGGGGGGAAAAACCCCGCTAATGCCAGGAAACAAAGACACGCTTTGGGTGCGGGCTTAGCAATGGCTTCATTAAAAGCTTGTTATTAGGGTGATTTCAAAGGCAACACAAAGAGGCGCTTGGAGAAAAGGGGGGGGAAATGACAGTTTTGTCTGAGGTCACTGTGTATGTGGAGTCTTCTTGCCAAATGCACACAGTCAGGAGGAGAGCCAATTTATTAATTCAGTTTATTATTTAATTTTCTCTCTTTATCTTGTTCTCTCTCCTTCCTTCCGTTCTTCCTTCCGTTCTTCCTTCCTTCCTTCCTTCCTTCCTTCCTTCCTTCCTTCCTTCCTTCCTTCCTTCCTTCCTTCCTTTCTTTCTTTCTTTCTTTCTTTCTCTTCATTTGGATCCTCAGTGGAGACCCAACACACCATGGTATAGTCCTTGGTATAATGACCAGGACAGGGGTCCTTGACCTTTTTAAGCCCACAGGAACATTTGGGATTCTGACACGGCATGGTGAGCGCAGCAACAAAATGGCTGCCACAAAAGGCGGAGCCAGCCACGAAATAATTGCCACAGCTTAACTTTCAGTCACACAGGGCAGATCCTTGTGCTGTGGTGGTAGCTGCTGTCAAAGCGACATTTTTTTAAAAAAATCTGTGCACCCAATCAGATCTCCAATAGTCAGTCAAAAACTTTGCCGGGCAAGAGCCCTACCTGCCTAAAAACACTCGTCGGGCACCGGAAAAAGTGTTGACAGGTTCCATGGTCAACGCTCCCTCTAAGCTGTGGAGTCTTGTGAGCAAAAATTCTACTTTTTTTGTGAGCTGCTGGCATTAAAGTTGTGAGCGAGGAATTTGGCAGCTGCATAAATTAGTTTGCCCTGGAACAGGGTTGGCCAAACTTACTTAACGTAAGAGCCACGTAGAATAGACACCAAATATTCAAGAGCTGCAAGACATGAGCAAATATTACACGTTTTTACCTGGAAATACTGCTTTTTATTGACATTAAACGAGACTGCCAGAAATAATAACAAAAGCGGTAAAAGCAGATATTGATAATGATATTTATTTGCCCAATGATATTTGTTTGCTGATGATATTTAGCTTCCACGGCCACCCTGCCGGGAGCCGCACAATATGTGTTAAAGAGCCGCATGCGACTCCCGAACCACAGTCTGGCCACCCCTGCCCTGGAGCCACCCTTCCTGAGCTAAGACAAAAGTCTGTGAGCCGGAGGCTAAAAAACTGGGATAGGGTTCCCAACCTCCAGTTGATCTGCAGATGACCAAGACCAGTTCCCCTGGAGAAAATGGCTGCTTTGGAAGTTGGACTGTATGGCACTGTAGCCCACCGAGGTCCCTCCCCAAATTCCTTCCTTCCCTGGCTCTACCTGCATTTCCCACCCTGGAGTTGACAACTTTAGCTGGAACTAGAACCGGGGCTTGGCAAAAAGTTATTTGGGTGGATGACAGTAGGGGCAACCCCCATGTTCTCCTTCAATGTCCCTTTTATCTGGTGCCCCACCAGGATCTCCTGTATCCTATATTAGCTCAATTCTCAGAAATTCCTGATGATTTTAAGGTTCTGTTTTTGCTTGATAAGATACGGAAGTAACTGAAATAGTAGCAAGGTTTCTTCTTAGTGCTACGGCGATACATTCTGATAAGTGACCACTAGGTTTTCCTGCTGTTTTTCTGTGCCGTAGCTCCAATTTTACCCTATATGGATTTGTATTTTCCGATTTATATTTAAGCCGATCTCCTATTGTGTGTATAAACGTATGCCAATAAAGGCTTGTCAAAGTAAAGTAGGGCAACCTGTCACAACTCACCGAGAGGGCGAATTAGTTTTGTGGCGAATTAGTTTACCTCAGCCTTGTTATGTAGAGTAAGAAGAGACTGGATTTATATCCCACCCTTCACTCCCCGAAGGAGTCTCAGAGCGGCTTACAATCTCCTTTCCCTTCCCCTCCCCACAACAGACACCCTGTGAGGTAGGTCGGGCTGAGAGAGCTCTGAGAGAACGGCTCCTGAGAGAGCAGCTCTTGTGACTGGCCCAAGGTCACACCAGCAGCTGCACGTGGAGGAGTGGGGAATCAAACCCAGTTCTCTCAGATTAGAGTCCGTGCTCCTAACCACTACACCAAACTGGCTACTGTAGTAGCTCTTACTGTGTGAAATCCTAGTCGTCATATAGTAAAATTTCCCCAACTGCAAAAATGACCGAGCATAGAGTTGGCCATTCTGCCGTGGGAAATTCCTGGAGCAGTGCCGGGAGAAGGTACAGTTGAAGGAAGAGAGGGACCTCAGTGGGGAGGAGACACCATAGAGTCCACTGTCCAGAACAGCCATTTCCTTCAGGAAATGAAGGAATACCAGGAGATCTCCAGGGCCCACTTGGAGGCAGTGTTCCCTCTAAGCTGAGTTAGTGTGAGCTAGCTCACAGTTTTTTAGCCTCCGGCTCACACGTTTTTGCCTTCGCTCAGGAAGGAGGGCTCCAGAGCAAACTCATTTATGCCGTACCCAGGGATCATTTCCTGCGGGAGCGCACAGGAGTGGAGCTCCAGCAGTAAGGAGCCCAGGGGGCGGGCACATGCAACACGCCCCACCCCCAGCTGCCCTCAGGGGCCATGAGGAGCAAGAAGCATCCAGGTAAGTTGCAAAGGGCCCCCCGCCTTCAGGTACAAGCACTCCCTCCTCTGCGAGGACAGATCTGCGCATCCCCCCCCCCCAATAGCTACCAATCCAAAACAGTCCAGTGGAGCCTGAGTGGCGGGTGGTTGCCATCTGACACACTTCCGGTGATGTCAGGGGGTGTGGCATATGCAAATAAGTCATGCTAATGAGTTATGCTAATGAGCTCCTGGCACCTCTTTTTCTACGAAATGACCCCTGGCCGTACCCAAATTGCCCGCTCACAACTTTAACACCGGTAGCTCGCAAAGTAGAGTTTTTGCTCACAAGACTCCGCAGCTTACAGGGAGCCTTGCTTGGAGGTCGGCAAACCTACTAGGAGAGAGGACACAGCGGAGAGGATATGGAGCGCAGCTCTGAGCCGTCCGCCTCGTTGCCCTCAGACCAGAGTGAGAAGTCAGTGTTCCTAAGAATCTTAAGAACATAAGAACATAAGAGAAGCCAATGTTGGATCAGGCCAAAGGCCCATCCAGTCCAACACTCTGTGTCACACAGTGGCCAGAAATACCCAGGTGCCCTCAGGAGGTCCAGCAGTGGGGCCAGGACACTAGAAGCCCTCCCACTGTTGACCCCCCCCCC